GAAATTAGTACGGAAAAAAATTTAGCTGCAACGAATGGTGCATCTAGGACGGTTCATTCTGAATCGGACCGAAATCCCAGACGCAAAAAACGTAAATTTCAAAATAGTGACAACGATTCGACTGATGATGTTTTTCAAGAAAATGCGAGTTTTGCGGATGTTGTAAAAAGATCTAGTCATGCAAGTAAAAGTAAAAATATTAGTAACAGTAATAGTAACATTAACAGTAACAGTAACATTAACAGTAACAGTAACAAACAGAGTAATCGTAAGACTCGTCCGGTCATTGTGATCAAACCAAAAGAGTCCAAACAAGCTTGCGAAGATACTCGTAAGTTTTTGAAAACTCAGTTGGATCCAAAAACACACAAAATCAGTAATTTTAGGAATGGTAAAGATGGCTCTATTATTGTTGAGTGTGCAACAGGAGCTAATCTTAATGATGTAAAAACTGGTATTGAAAGCAATCTGGGTGAACAATATAGTGCTGTTGTTCCCACTTCGGTGCCAAGATTAAAAATAGTGGGCATGAGCGATCAGTTTTCCTCCGATGTCTTCATTGACTACTTAAAAAGTCAAAATGAAGACATCGCTATAAATGATGTTAAAGTAGTGAACATGTTTGAAAATCCACGCTTCACTTATAACAAGTTTAGTGTTGTAATTGAAGTCGATGTCGAAACTTATAAATGTTTGTTATGTGCGAAAAAAGTAAATGTAGGGTTTGATCGGTGCTCGATAGTTCCCGCGATTAATGTGTTGAGATGCTTCAAATGTGGAGAATTTGGACACAAGAGCATGGATTGCAAAAATTGTGATAGATGCTCTAGGTGCAGCCAACAACACAAAACGTCGGAGTGTACGTCAACTGTATTGAAATGTATTAATTGTTTGAAAACGAATAAAGAACGAAAAATGAACTTGGACGTCAACCATGCCGCATTTAGCTCGGAATGTTTGCTTTATAAAAGACTTTTTGATCAGAAGAAAAGCAGCTTGCGTTTCAATAAATAGCAGCCAAGTTCCAGGAATGTGAATCAATTCGATTTTTTATACTTGAATATTGCGGGGTTGTCAACAAACTACGTAGCATTACGTCAGATTGTTGAGGAAAAACGTCCTCTTTTAGTTTTCTTATCTGAAACTCATATTGTAGAAACTGAAGCTTTTGATCAGTATAGTATTCCGGGATATATTGTTGCTGCTTGTTTATCACATTCTAGACACACTGGCGGTGTTGCTATTTATGTCAAAGAATCAGTTCAATTCAACCTTCGTACCAACGAAGTTATTGATGGCAACTGGTTCTTGGGCATTACAGTTGTACGTGGCATGAAGATGGGTAATTATGGTGTTTTGTATCATTCTCCCAGTTCTAGTGACCAGCGTTTTGTTGAAGTTTTAGAGAACTGGTTTGAGACATTCCTTGATTCTAGTAAATTAAATATATTGGCTGGTGATTTTAATATTAATTGGCGTGATAACCATAATTCGAATCATTTGAAGCGTTTAGCTGAGTTTTTTAATTTAAAGCAAACGGTAAATGAGTATACGCGTATTTCCAGGCACAGTAGAACTTTAATTGACCACGTTTATTCCAATTTTGATTCCATTTGTTCAGTTACCGATCATGAGACCTTAGTGATTAATGTCTTAGACCATGTTAACGATAACGATAATTTTGTAAAATTGAAGTGCTGGAGGAAATATTCGAAGCAAGCTGTTTCGAATCTTGTTGAGAGAAGCCTGGATTTTCCATTCGCGGCCGGTAACTTAGATGAATCTACAGCTGTTCTTAATAACGCTTTGAAAACGTGTACCAATCAACTAGTTGAGCAAAAGTTTGTTTCTTTGAAAAACTCGAACAGCTGGTACAATTTGGATCTTTTGCGTCTTAAACGGAAAAGGGACAAATTGTACAAAAAGTTTTGTAGATCTAATAATGACAATCATTGGACTAGGTACACAATCGCGCGTAATAAGTATTCACAATCGATAAAGAAAACTCGTTGTGAATATGTTCAAAGGAAGATTGATCAGCATCAAAACAACAGCAAAGAGTTATGGAAAATTTTGAAATCTTTATTAAAACCTAGTAATTGCAAACCGCGGTCCATAACTTTTAATGGCACATTAGAACAGTCAGAACAAGTAATTGCAGCTAAGTTTAATGATTATTTCGTAGATAGCGTTTCATTGATTAATCAATCTATTGAATTGGTCGATGAACCTGACGAAATAAAACAGCCAGTTAATAGTAGTTGTAGATTTGAAGTTTTTCACCCAATCACATTAGATGAACTTAGAGTTATTTGTTTTTCATTAGGAAAATCGGCTGGAGTAGAAAATGTTAATGCTAGAGTTATTCAAGATTGCTTTCATGTCATTGGCCACATCTTGCTGGACCTTATTAATGAATCATTACAAACTGGACATGTGCCACAAATTTGGAAGGAATCCTTAGTGGTCCCTATTCAAAAAGTTGCTGGAACGATTAAAGCCGAAGAGTTTCGTCCCATCAACATGTTGCACACATTAGAGAAAATTTTAGAACTTGTTGTTAAAGGTCAGCTGTTGGAGTATTTAAATAGTAATAGTTTGTTGATACCAGAACAATCGGGATATCGGGAAGGTCATTCTTGTGAAACCGCGTTGAATTTGGTATTAGCGAAGTGGAAAAATAACTTGGAGTGTAAAGATACGATTGTTGCTGTTTTTTTGGATCTTAAACGCGCTTTTGAAACAATTTCTAGGCCCTTATTGTTAAGATCAATCAAGCGCTTTGGAATTACGAGTACTGCATATAAATGGTTTGAAAGCTATTTGTCTGACAGAACTCAACGGACTGTTTTTAATGATTCTGTTTCCAGTCCCGTGGGGAATAATCTTGGAGTGCCCCAGGGAAGTGTATTAGGGCCCCTGTTATTTATTATGTATATTAATGACTTGCGACGTGTTTTACGATTTTGCGACATTAATCTTTTTGCAGATGATACTGTGTTATTCATTGCAGCTAAGGATTTAGATGATGCCGTTTTACACTTGAATGAAGATTTGCGTTCTCTAAGTAGATGGTTGAAGTATAAGCAGTTAAAATTGAATACAAGTAAAACTAAATTTATGGTAATTTCGCGGAATCGAGTAAATGAGAACGTCTCTGTTGTAATTGATGATGAGACTATTGATCGCGTTCGGGAGATTAAATATCTTGGCGTGATTATTGATGACACACTTAAGTTCAACTCTCACATTGACAATGTCATCAAGAAAATTGCCAAGAAGTATGGAATTCTATGTCGACTGAAAAACGATTTAACTATTGCCAGTAAAATACAGCTATACAAATCAATCATCTCTCCTCATCTTGACTTTTGCCCTTCCATTTTATTTCTGGCCAATGCAACACAAATATCGAGATTACAGCGCTTGCAGAATAAAATAATGCGTTTGATTTTGAGATGTAATAGATTCACTTCCTCAACTTTGATGTTAGACGCCTTACAATGGTTGTCGGTGAAGCAAAGAATTGTATATTTGACTATGGTGTTCATTTTTAAAGTAGTTAACGGTTTGCTGCCTCGATATTTGTGTGATCGAATTGAAAGAGGAAGTGACTTTCATAGATATAATACTAGAAACGCGGTTGAAATAAGAACACCACATTTCTTGACTTGTGCTTCACAAAATTCATTATATTATAAAGGAATAAATGTTTTCAATTCGATGCCTAGACATATCAAACGTTTAGCAACACTTACAGAATTTAAAAGACACTGCATTTCACACGTTAAAACTGTCTTTTGAACAGTTATCCCGTGATTTTTTTATGAATTGACAAATTATGTATCTTGACGAAGTTATCTCTAACGGATTATTTTATATGGATAGCTGTCATAACGACTTTTTAATAATTATTGTAGCACTGCAAAAACTATTTCTGTTCGCCACGAGGGTGATGATGGATTTTTAATATTTGATTTTATAGTAGATTAATTAAAACAAAAAGTAGTCTACAAAGGTTTGAGCCTCGCGCGCGTATTACGGATATAGAGGACTGAATTTAACATTTGATAAAAAAAATGCAATTTTGAAGCTTATTTGAAAGATACCTTGAGTTAGTAGTAAGTTTTCTGGCAAATGTTAGGGGTTAGTGAGCATTCCTGACATTGCTGAAAATTATGATAGCATCAGATTGCGGGGTTACTAGTGTAATAGGATGCTTTGTTGATTGTTCATTAACTCTTGATTGCTTGTAATACTTATGAATATTTTAGGTGGACAAAAAGGCGAACTAAGAGGTGGACGCCTGAGCTTTTCCACATTTATATCGCTGTGAAGCAACTGTAAACTTTAGAAGGAATCTATATCTGTAACTGAAACCAGTTCGATTTTGTTTGCCAACCTGGTTAAAATGTCATATTCAATTATCTTAAAGATAAATCGTCCAGCTCAAACCTTTGTAGGGGTAAGAGGTGGGACCATCATCATCATCATCATCTAAGGGCGAGCAGCAGTTCAAGGCAAACTGGCTTTCTGCGGCGAAGAAGATGGACAAGGTGGCTGTACAAAATCTGATGGCAGGGGTCAACCGTAAGGCCCGGCAATTCGGATTTGGAAAAGCGGAAGCCTAACTGAATATTTTTCCTGAATTTTATACTAATTGAACTTGAAAAAGAAATTTAATTTGATTTTTTAAATAAACGATTTCACCGATTTACACGCGTTTTCCCTTGACCAAATTTTGACCGTATCACCCTTTAGCCTGTCTTGCACATACTAAAGGAGTAGTTTACACACATTTTTACCAATTTAATTATCAAAAGATGTGGTTTAGAGTCGATACTCGTCTTGCCTCATATGGCCATCTTACCCCACTTTCGCTACAAGACCATTCGGGGTAGTGTTAAAGGATCAAACCAACCTAATGCTTGATTTCGTCTCGGCGCCTATATCTGATACCAAGTTGATTAACTCTGATCCTACTCTCAACTTTTCCGCAGTTCTTCAACGGTTCTACCACCAGCAGAACCAGCTGAGAGAAAGCAAACAGCATCAACTGGAGCAACACCTGTCGACAAACCCATTCTATCAGCCTCAGCAGCAGCATCAGCAGCATCATCAACAGCAGCAGCATCATCAACAGCAGCAGCAGCAGCAACAATACTCGAGCGGTATCCCGATCAAGTACAGTCCGCTGCCATCGCACCGGACCGTGCATCATCCGACGAATCCGGCGGCGTTCACCACTGGTGGGCCTACCTACATGGGCTATCCGCAGATGATGCCACCGGAGGCAAGCAATATACCAACCTACCAGTACCAACAGCTCAATCCCACTAGCAGTCCTAGTAAGCCGAAAACGGGTGGCTTCTTCAACACTTTTAGTCGATCAAAGAGCCAAAACAATGGCAGCGGTTCTAGTCAACGGAGTAACGCGGGTAGCAGTGGTGGTGGCACTGGTAGCGATGGCGGTTTTCCGGAGGGTGGGTTCTACCAGAATCATCAACTGTACGGACGGCAAACGTTACCGGAATATGGCAGCGCAGGTTTCGCTATGCCAAGCGGTATGAGCAACGGCGATAACATGTTGAAGGATGATACAGGTGGGTGGTAGCTATTAGAACATTGATTTTCCGAAGCAAGATTTTAGTTTTTAGTAGCTTTGACAAACGACCGACGAAAAAAAAGAGTACTCTTCTCTCCCCGACGGGGAATTGAACCCCGGTCTCCCGCGTGACAGGCGGGGATACTGACCACTATACTATCGAGGACTTGTATATTATGCTGGTTACACGCGTATATCAATTTTGTTTACAAACAAAGTTTATTTTCATCTCGCGCTCATTAGATTCAACTGCGAGTGTGTTGTACATGTTGATGATCTTTGCTTTGTTTATTTGCATTGCGTTGATTGTGTTTATTTTTATTTTTTCTCTTTCTTTCGTCCCTCTGCACCACCGCGCACCCATTATCTGTACATTGGTAAATCACCCGCCTTCTCCATTTCCTACACCATCATCTCACCATCACATTCCGTTTCTTTTCACCTTCCCGTGGGTTGATCTTGCACACACCGCTTGCTCTCGCGCGCTGCTCTCTTTACCCTCTACCGCAAACACCTCACACAAGCAGGGTGGTTCAATTCAATTGCAGATCTCGCCAAGCGACGGTTTGCCTCATTCGTGAAAGTCAATTTGGCCTCCACCGGTGAGAAACGACCGAAGGATAAACATCTGCAGAATCAAATGCTACAACAGCAGCAACAACATCAGCAATATCCATTCACCGGTGGAAACGGTTCTGTGATGTCCTCGATGAACAACTTCAACCACACCAGCACCAATCCCTTCGTTGGGCCTCCGAGTGGCATCCCCTCGGCGATACCGCCGTCAGCAGCGGCCCATGTCCTAAGCAACGATCGACGGCACCGGAGCCCCGATCCTCCTCCTAGGTTTGTGCTCTCCCGCTATACGTGGCTAGTAACCAGATTTACCGACAGGATTTCATTTCAACTCGTAGGTATAACCGGGGACAGTCGCCCCTGTTGCTTCATCGGAAGTTGGAAAAGCTAGGTCAAAGCGGGTCGCCCCTTCTCAATCAACGGTAAGTACCTAAGGTGTACGGTTTCTTTTTGTAGGGATTTCTTGATTACGCGATCGTAATCAATATCGTAAATAAATTAATGAATCCTCTGGCGGGGGTACATGTGATTGTACGACCCCCAGAATACATTGACCACGATACGTTTTCCCGAATAAACTAATCCCATTTAAGAAATTTCTCGTTACATTTTGACGTCTTGTGGACTATACTTGGATGCAAATCAAAAATATTGTGTGACAAAATAGTGTCAGGTTTTGAACGCTTATAACATGGTCATTTATGCATGAAATTCAAGTTTAATTGCAAAATTTTATTCAGATTGAATGTACGATTTGTTCGGTATAAAGATGATAGTTGTTTATCAATGGTTAACTATTGAAAATTGATCAAAGCTTTCAAAGCATTCAAAGAGATTCAGAATGCTTGTTTCAATGTAACATATTCATTTTGAGAAAATCGAAGTTGAAGCTCGTAATACTTTTTTTAACCGTAGTTTAAAATATAGAAAACACCACTTAGGACGTTTTGGCTGGTCATGTTATACATCGGACATGTTTTGGACGATTTTTCTCTGACATAATCAATGAGTGTTACAAAGGACGTTTTGTTCTACATGATACTAGATTCCGTTGCACAGATTTCAAAATAGAGTACCTAAACTTAAATTGGTTTTCCATGCCCCGCTTTTAGAAAATGAGCACCAATCATGTTAGGCGGACAGAATGTCCGAAGTAACAATCACGTATCCATCTCTTCAAACTGTACATTGAACAATTTTTGTCCTACGATTATCTTAAATAAATGAAAGCAAATATGAATGGGTGTTTTTGTATCACATACAACGAGAGAAGAGCAATAGTTTGTACCTTGTTCTGAGGGAATTTCACGGGGATTAAGAAGGTGTATTTTATAGATAATTCTATCAAGATCTAGGATTGTTCTAAGAAGATTCTGGGGAGATATTAAAGAAAATTCTAAAGACAATTAATTAAGAATTCCGAGGATAATTTCTAGGAAATTATGTTGAGAGTTCCAATGAAATTCCGCGAAGGGAATTCCAAGGGATTCGAATTCTGATGAAAGTTCCAACGGAATTTGAGGAGATTTCAAAAGGTAATTCCGAGTATCCTGTAAGGTGCATTTCAAAGAATTTCTTGGAGCATTTCAAATGAATTTCGAGGAGATCTTGAATGGAATAAAAGTTCAGGATAATTCCATGGCAATTTTGAGTTGAATTGCTTGCATGTTTTAAGGAGTCTTATATGATAATTCTCAAGGGCATATCAAATAAATTCGGGAGAACATTCCAAGGGAACTTTAAAGAGAAAGTTAGAGAGAAATTTAAATGATTTCTTATGAGATTTTTTATAGAGAATTATTATAGTCCTATAGAAAAAATGGAAAATAATGCCAGCGAGAACCCCTTGATTATTTACGAGGAATTATGAAAAGAACTCTTATGAAATTTTGGGCTGCCTACAGAAATTCTTGAAGAAAAAAATCAAAAGAATCATGGGAAAATATGAGGTCGAATGAAATTATACAGCTATATTTATTTATTTATTTATTTATTTATGTATTAACAGACTCGATATGGTCCCATTGATGGTTTAACTTAAAATCAAAATTGAAGTCATAAGTTAAAACTATAAAATATGATCATTGACGATTTAAATTTCTAGATAAGAATGAAGAGAAAAGTCTCCGAAGTGTTTGTCGTGGCAGGTGAAAATCGAATACTGATGAAACTCGGTTAAATACTCGCTGCGTCCGCCTATTGCACCGTGGGTTGCATAGTTTGTCCGATGTAGTGGCTTTCTCAGTATAACATTATTACGAAGCATTTGGGGTTGGACTTGCTCCAAGATTGCGGTGAAATCAATTCTGCCATGTAACGTGTCCGCGACAAGCATAGCTTTTAAAGTATCTCTTCTGGTGCGAAGAGGGTCCAAGTCAATCAGCTGGCAGAGACTTTCATAGTTGGGCAAATGAAACTTTCTAAACACATTTTAAACATTCTAAAAGCGTATCGCAAAAAGCGGCGTTGAACGGACTCGACTCTCTCAGTTCGGACTCCAAACCACAGAACAACATTCTTGAATGGAACGTACCAGGGAGCAATACAGTGACTTGAGGAAATGGGTGGTGGAGAAATTCTTAGCTGTTATGAAGATACAGCTCAATACCCTTGACGACTTGTCTACGACGTACGAGATGTGTTGAGAGTCCAGGATGAGACCTATGTAGATCTTTTACATGGCTCACACGTTCAATAATGGTGTCCCGGAGAGCATAGTGGAAAATAACTGGTTCTTTCTTTCGAGTAAAGGTGATGACTGAACACTTCGCAGGTGGGCCTATTCAGTGCGGCGTGTGAGGTGAGGTAACTCGCTGTCACTAGCGAAGTGACAATTGTCACCTCGGGTGAGATGACCCTCTATTTGATTTGCACGGAGAGTCATCTCACCCGAGCTGACAATTGTCACTTCACTTGTGATAGCGAGTCACCTCACTTCACTCGCCGCACAGAATAGATCTAAGTTGGTCTATTCCGCACGGCTTGTAAGGTGAGGTGACAGCGAAGTGATGGTGAAGTGACAATTGTCACCTCGGGGGAGGTGAGTCTCCGTGCAAATCAAATGGAGAGTCATCTCATCCGAGGTGACAATTGTCACTTCGCTAGTGACAGCGAGTCACCTCACCTCACACGCCGCGTAGAATAGGCATAAAGGATTCACCGTCATTCGGTTCAAATGGCACCAGCTGTCAAATGCTTCAAAATGACGTTAGAGGAATTGACAATCATCGATCGAGCTGATCCGTGAGTAGATTTTGAGATCATCTACATAAGATAGTCGTGAACATTCGATAACTAAATTCACGTCTTTGAAGTAAAGTAAGAAGATAAACGGTTCCAGATGACTTTCGTGAGGTATTCCTGACGTAGCTGCGAAAGTGTCGGACTGGCAGTCACCATAGGTTACCACCAACTGACGATCAAAGATGACTTCTAAATTTAGTCCCCTTTCCATAAGTACCGTTGAATTTGATAAAGAGCACACATTGTTGAGATATTGTTAAAAATCTAACACTGCTTCTTGATTCCAAATTCGTCCTATGAGTTTCAATTCCGTCCAAACGCATTGAAACGCCATTGGATTTACTTCGTCCTACGGATAAAGGTAGAAAAAGCTTGTTTGCTAGGAGCGCTTCTTTTGTTTTGAGAACAATGAGTGTTAATATTCACCCAATACGCTCTAATAGACTTTGTGTTGTAGCTTGTGAACTAACGCATCAGTACAAACCAGCCCAGTGGCAGGCGCGTAGGCAACATGTTATACGGTGACAGCGGGCCCAGCACAGCAAAATAAATGATTTAAGCCCGGGACTTGCTGCCTACTGTCAAACACTGCTGTTGGTATAGGCCTTATCACTGGCCTGATACAAATGTATTACTGATTTGTGCACGGTGAAATAATTGATTATACTGATGTTTTCTGCTCGATAGAACGGAAATGGACTGTTGGGAAACCGAATTACCTCTGCCTTCGATATCGTCCAGTGCTCCCCAACACTCGCCGGTGAAATTAGGGAAAATAAAAAAGCAGCTATTCCCGGTGCTGAGTTAATATCTCCCTTGTTCTCCGTGGAAGAGCTTCTCCTATTTTTACACTAATTAACACGCTAAACTAAAACACGGGTAACAAGCACTACATTTAAAACACATTTATTTCTTAAACTCTAACATTGATTTTCTTAGTCGCAACACACACAAAACAGATTAAAATTGCCCGCGCGCAGACTCCACACACAGTCGGTGGTCTGTAGATTTCTACTGTAAACAATATCCATGCGATGTTTTCGCTCGGGTCAATGAGAGTGACCGCTCCCGTTCTCGCTACTGAATTGCCAGTTATCGAACTCACCATTGCAGTCTCTTACAACGACGTATGTATATACAAGCGAAACAATCCAAACCCTCTCGCGCTTGGCTTGATCGATGACCATTTCTATCCTCTACTATAGGTGTGTAGATGAGAACCTCGTTGAAAGTACCTATAGGTTACATTTGTACATAACCAGTACGAGGATGTTGCTAGGTAGGGCTGATGTTAGTCTCAAACATGGACGATTACGACGAAGTAGGGCTCTACCAAATATATCATATTAACAATATGATCTATTCATGCCTTTTCCACACATTGCAATGGTGACCCGAAACATACAAAATTCTGCGACGTGAAAAGATTCCAAGATTGTGACCTAGATTCTTTTTAGATTTACAAATTTCTGAAATTTATAAGATTCTGGTAGGTAATTTGGATTCTTCGGAAGAGATGAACTAGCCAAAAAGAATAGTGTTAATTGTATTAAGATAATCAAGGTGCTTATTGATGAAATCCGGGATATTGGTTTTCTGGGTAGATGGGTTATTCGGAGCAATGGAATTATTTTCGACTTGATCCTGGAACCAGTGCTGCAAAATCTCTACAGTACAGGGCGATTTTCAAAATTCTGATTTGGTCACTCATTTGAGCTAACAGTCATCGTCAAGGCAAACCATGTCAATAGTCAGTGAAAATGCTGTCAGTGACGAACATGGGCAGATTTTCGTAATAGCTAAATTTGAAATGAAATTATATTAGGGGAATTTACGTATTCTCGGCAACCTAAGCAGTGACCATCTTTCTACAGCCTTTTCTCTAAAGAACGCACACATATGCAGTATTGGTTTGTTTACAATCTTTTGCTGCCAGCTGCTATAACAATTTCAGTCGAAGGAATTGTCAAAAACTGTTTTGAAACGCTTTTACAAAGCTCCAATCTTCTCTAGTGAGAGCGACTATTATAGGCAACATCTTTTTATTCGGCAACCTTTCTATTTGAGCTGCGTGTTAAACAGCTGTGCTTTCTTCGGCAACTCGAAATCGGTAGCATTTTGTAGTGCGTGTGTTTCATTTCAAGAAAACTCTGTTAGATTTCTTTTTCTCAGTGGTAAAAATATAATCAAATTGAAGCTGAAAGCCCACAGAATCGTTTGAATGCATTCAGCGAAGTGTTTTCATAAGAAAATCCAGTGAAATTAACGTTTCAATTTGGGTTGCCGAAAATAGTCTGCCATGCCGAAGCCGTAATTTCCCCTACTTGAGCAAAACAATTACAAGGAGCCGTTAAAGTGCAGAAGAGCTTCTACGTTCTGAACTGCTTGGATAACAATAATGTGACTCTCTGTCATTGACGAAAAAATGAATGAGATTTTGAAATTAGATTCGGCACAGTTTGGGCACATCCATCGGCACCAGCACTGTCATTGGAGTTGTTCACAACATTACGTGCTGTTTGACTGTTTATTCAGGAACATCCTCTAATTCAATATACCAGAGGAACTCATACCAGCAGTTCACTTATAGATCTAAATACGAAATGTAGGTTCTAGAGTGTGCTCCAGAGAAAGAGGCAGCTAATTAGACCTTATTAGTACCCTTAATTCAAATAATGCTTCAAACCACCCAAAACAAACTAAAGAAGTCCATTCATCATCCTCTATAGTCGGTCTCCAACAATGCTCCCCACCGGTTCCAACTCTTTCCGGTCGCTGATAGACCGATGCATTTCACATCCCGAAAGGCTAGGTTTCTGGTCTGCCTTTGAGGGCATCATAAAACCCTAAAACACACTTTTTTATTGCCCTACGAACACAAACCACTAAAATTTCGCACACCCGCCACTTCCCGCGTCATCCTCAATCCGATTTGTCGTTGCGATTTCAAACCAAAACATTCAAGGGGGATGGATATGGCTGTCATATCGCTTAAGTTTGCTGCGTACCGAACATCTGCAACGTTGTCAGCGTTACCCAAGGGGGGAGGTGGCTGTCAAATACGAACAATCGTCGCCTACCTCGCATAACTGGTTCCAAACGTAAACAAGCCATAAGAAACCTACAGCGTTTGTTTACGTTTGGAACCAGTTTCATACAAGATGATCAGTAGGCTGATTTGACAGCACGTCCCCCCCAGGCGGTACCATGATATGTTTTGTTGTTTTGATGTTGAGTACGTGTATTCAGCTATATGTCAAACTCCTGGTCTATGTGATGAACAATTTTGTCAGCATCGCGCGAGAGTCTGTCAATGACAATGACAAATCTCAGCACTGCCTGGAACATTTTCAGGATTATGGCTCTTCTTGTTTTCTGAAACTGCGCTGAATATGCTTCTTGATATTTACCTAGAATCCCGTTTGATCTGAAATTCCCCTCCCAAGTGTTCACCTAGAATCCCTCCGTGGTTATATAATTATCTATACTATTTCCCGTTACAGTTTCACTTCGGCGTCTCCGTCGCCGCCGCTGCCGCCCCGCCGGGGTTCGGAAAGTGTTCCCGGTTCACCGCAGCACATTCGCACTCGCATCCACTACACCCCGGAGCCACACAGGCGGCCATACCGAACGATAGACCAATGAGTGGGACTGCAAATTCTGGTCATGTGATCGATGTATAGCTTTCTGGATTGAACTCTCTTACGGAATCGCCGTCACCTTCGTCGCCGTGTCGCCTACCGTTGCCAAAATTGCCAACCGGTGCTGCTGGGTACCTAAGTTGGTGGGAGTTGTTGCGTCGCCACTTTCGGAAGCAGGGATGTATCCTTCTTCGACGTTAAACAGTTTTACGCTTTCTATGGTTGTGGCGTGACTTATTAATTGTGTTTCCTGCGGACTGTGCATAGTAGGTGTAGTTACGCCAATAGGCAGTGTACCTACAGCGTACGGTCAGAGTGCTTTCGTCTTACAGCATGAAAAGACACATTAAAAACGAAAACGAAACAAAAATACGAATTTCGCTTTATTTGGTTAAGAACGACGAGCATTTCGCTGGCAAAATTGATTAAATTAAGAGCTCGATCTTCGACGTGTACGGTGAAACTGAAGGATTTCTTTTGACATTTTCTGACATCATTGAGGATGGACGGTTTGATTGAAATTGGTTTTCAATGATTGTTTGATGGACAAGAAGATATGACGCTTTGGGTCGAAATTGTTGAATAATTCGCTCTAACATCTCAAATCAATACATTTTATTATTTAAAAAAAAAATCGAATGTACCTAGCTCCAAATGAATATTTAAATTTATTCTAGTTTCTAGTGATCACGGCAAATATTGATTTCAGAGAAGAGAGTGAAATATGACAAACATTTCGCCTCCCAGCGGTTCTTACTTATAACTAAATCCATTTTTTTCTTTTTCATACAACTACTTGTGCTTGAACAGTTTCTTTTCCTTAGCAAACTGCAATAGTTTTGTTTTGCAATAATATTTGAATTAGGCTATACACAAAGATCACCCTTAGCTGCTCATGACGCGTTACTGACGAAAATGCTTGTAAATTGACTGATTATGCCGTAAATTTGGGAGAACCAAAAGCAAACAGAAAAGCATTTTGGTTTTTCTTATAATTGTGATTCGACGTGCCCACGCTTTCGTCTGATATTTCCCCCTATCTATTCTTAAATTTAGAGAGAAAAGTACATAATATGTAAGCATAGTCGTTGCCCAACACCACAGGTGATGTTTATTTGTTGCTTTTCAATAAAGAACGACGCAGACTGCTTTGCGGATGTGAACTCCAAAAAACAAAATAAAAACCGATACCTAAACACTTAACCAATTGATTTGTGCTTTTCAATTATTCTATGTGTTGTGAATTTGAAGATGGTATTTTTGGAATATAACGTTCGCATATGACAACTCTATTTATAGCGTACTAAAAAGCTCTATTTATGCAACATATTATCGAAATAGACTGGATCATAAATAGCAACTCCCACGCCCTACCACGAGAACCTCGTAGATCAGTATACGGTACCTAACCTAAAATTCCTCCCACGAACTTTGATCGTTCTGCCGGGTTTGCTTGGGTTCCCATTCGTTGCTATCGCTCTTACTATTTGAAGGAAGCGTAACAGCAAGAGGTGAGCTCGAAGTCGTAATCGAACCCGAACGAATTTTTTGCACACACACCTTTTACCTATTCCCTGTTTCGCACACTCAAACACAGGCAACCGTAACTGCTTAAATAGGCATCCCCTCCCCCCAGAAAGAAAAGACTTGTGATTCACAAAACCAGCATAGTAAACAAATATGTTAAATTACGATAAACAGAAACATACGCTAGCAATTGCTATTACAGTACACTCAGCATACCAACAAGAAAAGGTTTTTGTACATAAATTATCTAATTACTTCTACCTATAAAGAGTTCTTTGAATAAGAGAGAAAACAAAAGAATAAACAGACACAAAACCGACAAAACAAGCTTAGGTTTACATTGTAGGAAAATATATATATTCAAGAAGGAATAAGTCGAGAGCGTGTAAAAAACGCTTACAAGCGAAAGATGACGAAACAGAAGAAAAAAATGAAACCATTTAGTCATTTATTATATTAAAAAGTATATATTAAAAAAAAACTGATAATGTGAGAAGCAAAAAAAAATTAAAGAAAATATTTATGACGCGAAAATCACACGAAAAAAGTAACAAAAAACTTACGCTAAAAACAAGTAAAGCTACAATTCGTTGTTAATTGCAGAAGACATACCCGAAAGCCTTGCGTCGCCATTTAAATCTTTTCTGAATTGGTTAATAGGTAAACACCAAACTGAATAGCCCATTTTGAGATGTTTGTTTTACAGGATGAAATTAGTTTTCCCGGTTCTGCTTAAATTACCCAGGAAACAACTATTTCCCTGCGCTTTGGTCAGAGAGCGTATAGGGTGTCGTTGTGCCAATTTGGTCGTGGCACATTTCGAGTATGAGAGAGTGATTGCAGTTTGCTCAAAAGTGCCTGAGTAAAATGCAAGTACTTTCGATGATTGCCCGTAGTTGTTACAGTGAAGATATACACCCATATTCTCGTTTATGTCTGGACGTGTTTGCCATACAGAAACATTTTTATTTGATTTTGTGTGGTGGATGGGTTTCGGGCGTGGACGGGCATATGGGTGATAATATTAAGTTTACGTTAGGATAACGTTGAAAAATTGAGAAATGTATCGCTTCAGTTTGAGAAGCACTTCACTTCGCAACCGATGAGCCATTCTGACGGCCCACATTACCGTGCAGGCGCCGTATGTTGGCAGGGTCCAATATTGGACAGTTTGATGTTTATAAAGTACCATCAGTTAAAATTGTAATTTTGAGCTTTATCTCTATACATTCTTAGGTGTTTCCTAGTAGACTACCATTTTGGTGTACGCTGATTCAAAGATTGAATTGTATTGACATTGAGCTGTCCATAGTTGGGCGTTGTTGAACTTGTGGTACTTGCACAACATTTCATGTGAGTACCAAAGTAATCATATAATCACAAAATAACTTTAAATGTAGGTTCAGAGTGAGACAATGTCACTGAGATATGGTTAGTTGGGTATTCAGATGAAACTATTGCTTTAAAAAACTAATCCTTGTTGTATCTCTTTTTCGTTTGCATGTAACACTATTTGATATTACTAACCACACCGAACGTTCATTCCGGGTGGTGAGCGAACATGAAGACAAAGATGATGGCTATACAGGATGAGTGGTACCATGACCCCCTTCTCGGAACGAGTGTATTGTTAATGGACCTGGTCTACGATTCAAAGTTGGATTCTGTGATTATAAATATCACATATAAGTATAGTAGATAGCATCATCTTTATCGAAATGTAAGTATTATTGACAATAACCATAACTAGATGATATGCAAATTTATACGTTAGGTACCTGGATCAACGTTTTTTAAACATGCGCATTCAATCGTGACGGCAGCTAATTCTGCCCAACCCTCTTTCTTTCTACAATCCCTGGGCAGCTGGTTCACCATAAGTGTACCTCGCAGAACTTTTTTAACCCACATGGGTAAAGATGCTGTGTTGCTCACTCCTCTCCCCTTCCCTGGTGTATTATGGATGGTGTGAATATTCACATCGGTGACATGACCCCTGACCCCCTTGTACATCATAAAATGAAATGAAATTACCCAGGAAACATCTATTTGTTTTACATAAGGCATGCTAAACATACATTTGCTGAAAAAGTAGACCACATTACCACAGACAAACCGACATTAAACTTAAACTTAACTCTTGATCGAGAATCCATAACGGCCGATTCAAATGTGCAGTGATCCCATCTGTCAAAACCATAGAAATGTTTTATCTAGATAAAAATGATTTGTCCGAAATAGATTAGACACGAACCAACTCATAAATTTTGTACGCGTGTTCGTGGCTAGGATAAACATTTTCCGCGAACACGGCGGCAGATGTCAGTTTTGTGCTTTGAGCAGAAATTCCTTTGTAATTTGTATGATCATTCATGTCGGTTTGTCGGTGATATTACTCCAGGAAAACACTGTTAGGAGCAATATCTGGAGAATGTCGTGAGCAATTTCCAGAGTTAGTCGTATGAAACACCTGAAAGACATTGGAAGAATTTTCCGGAGGAAATAGTAGCTAATCTTCCGGGTGTAGTTCCAAGAAATTCTCAGGAGAAACGTCCTGGGAATTGACCAGTAACGCCTGGTAGATTACCTTTTGGTGGTGCGCTACTGGCATTAAGATCTACCACGGAAGCCTTTTCTGAACTACTTCAAACTAGGGCAAAAGGGCAAAACAATCAAAGGAACACATCTGAGCCCTCTTTACTTTATATGCCTTATTGATAGAGACTCGGCTTTGTCCACCGATGATGATATTGAAACAAGGAAAACAAGAGTTAAGTAGTTATTTTTCATCTAGGTACGTGATTCCTAATCTTTCATTCACTGCTCTCTAGTTTTAAGTGGTTAAGACTCGCTTGATTTTGTTGCGAAATAATCCATTTTTGACTGACAAAGGGGCGCGCCTTTGGAGGGTGTTCCAATACTCCAAAGGGTATAACGAGCGGGACCTTACAATTAGATTCGAATCCTTGCGATAAAGGTAAGGCTGACCACTGTATCAAAACCGAATACTCAATAGTGATGTAACACAATATGCACTAAACTAAGGTCATACCACAATAGATCAAATAGCTGATGAACTGATCTCCCGAACAGAGAAAAAACGGGAAAGTCTGAAAAACTTACCGGAGAAGTTGCAAGACTGTTTGAGAAGGGATGTTGGGTAAAAGTTGCCATAAATTTTCCGAAGGAGTCAGAAGAAACTTCTGGAGAAAGTTGGAAGATACTTCCAGAGGATAGCCAGATCGTTTTCTAAAAAAACAATCTTCCGAGGGAAGCCAGAGTACATTTTAGGGAAAGGCTCGATAAGTCATTTGAAACTTCCAGGAACAGTTGACATAAACAGAGAAGTCAGAAGGATTTCTAGAAGAACACTCCGGGGGAAATCTGATGAAACTACCAAGAAAATGTGTAAGAAACTTCTCTGAGGATCCTGAAAATTTCAAAAACCATGCCGAGAGAAGTCGGAACAAACATGCGAGTAAGTTGAAATAATCCCCCCTATTCTGCGAGTCACATGACTCTCTCCCATTTGATGTGCACGGAGAGTCACCTCGCACGAGACACCGGTGACCGGTGACGGAGAGTCACGTGACTCCCAGAATAAATAGGCCTATTCTGCGCGGCGTGTGAGGTGAGATGACTCGCTGTCACTAGTGCAGTGACAATTGTCACCTCGGGTGAGGTGACTCTCCATTTGATATGCATAGAGAGAAAAAAGAAAGAAGCTCTCCTGGAGGAAATTTGAGGAAAGTTCTGAGAGAAGTCGGAAAAACATCCGCGGAACTTCCAAGACATAAATTGAGAAACTTCTGGCGAAAATTTAAAGAAACTTTCAGAAAAAAAATCGGATTTCACATTCAAAGGAAGACAGAAAAGTTTTGGAAATCGGAAATAAATTCCAGAAGTAGCCATTTCCAGGAGAAGACAGAAGAAACTCGGAAAAACCTTCCAAAGAAGTAAAAAACCTACTGGACAAAATTCCAGAACTAGACGAATGCAATTTCTGGGAGAAGTTTAATTGAACTTCCTGGAGAAGACCGAAGAAATTTCCTTGAGACGCTGGCAGAAACTTCCTAAGGTAGATTGGAAAAGAAAATCTGGAGGAAGGCGGAAGCCAGAGCGCTTACGGAACAGTCGAAAGAAACAAGGACATAATTCCGGAAGAAAGAGCTCTTGGGGGTGTTCTAATGATCCAGAAAATTTTCCAAATGGTCATAAAACATCCCTGAAGACCCCGCAATGCCCCTGAAGTTTTTGGAAAATTCCTGAAATGTACTTAGGAATATTCCATATTTCCTCGGGATGTTTTGGAGTACTCTGATCATCTTTGAAATACTTGGAACTTCCCTGATTATAATGAGACTACCGGAATATCTCTAATCAACTTTGAAGGTCTCTAGACTTTCTTGAAGGTTACGAAATTTCTTAAGCGCTCTCACAGTTTTCTTGAATTTATTGTAACATCAGCATTGAAGTTCTCTGATCTTCCCGATTTTTCTAATTTTTAAAAGTGATCGACACTGTGCACAAAATGTTCTCACAATGTGCTAATGTTCGTGTAACCTCCCTTACGTTTCTTAAATTTGCATGAGCCCCTCCGAACATTGCTGAAGTTTTCGGAAATTACCTGAGTTTCTCAGAACTCCTTTTAAATTTACGATTTCCTTGAAATTTATTAATCTGATCTGATTGTCCTGATGTTCTCGGAGCTTCCTAAAGTTCGCTTAATTCTCCTGAAACAAATGGAACTGTTCTGAAAACCATCAAATTTCCCAGAAGTTCTTTGGACTTGTGAAGTATCCAAAATATTTATGATGTTTCCTTAAGTTCACTGGTGTTCGCTGGACCGGGTTTTAGAATTTTAACAGAAGTTATTAAAACATTCTTTAATTTATCGAAACTTACTCACAAGTCTGGACTTTTCTGAAGTTTCCGCAGTGGATTCGCAATCAAAATCTAGAAGCATCCCTGATGTTCCGGGAAGAATCATTCGAGCGAAGGCTGAAGAAGAACGGCGCCGGTGGCAGGCCTGGGTTCAATCCCAGTCGGCGCCGCCGGGATGTTCTGAGGCATAACATCTCTGATCACGCCTTCCTTCGGATGGGAAGTAAAGCAGTTGGTCCCCGGTTCATGAGTTGATGGGTCGATAGGTAGGGTCCAGGTGTGGGAGCTGCCTTCCTGGCACGTCGGTAGCATTGGTGCTCAGCACGGAAAACAAGATCGACGGAAAAAACAAACCAAAGGAAAAAAAAATAGCGAATCTCCGCTGTAGGTTGTGTGAACAGATTTACGGGAATATCCATAAATGACGTAGCATATTTTTGACCAATTTCAGACAACCCCCCCCACCCCCCCTCATTGTAGCGTATTTTGCTATACCTAATACATGGCCGGTCACAACATGGGACTTTGCTTACTTTTGGCTTCCTACACGGTAAGAAAAAAAGTACCCAAAATTAAGTTACTTTCACTCAACACGTGGCTTCAGTGGGGCTAGGTAAAATTAAGTTAAACAAGAAAACTCAATTTTGAGTAATCCTGATAAACAATCCATTGAGTAAATATTTCCTTACGATCAATCGAATGGAATAGGTAAAAAATACCCAACGTACCAGCATGCAACCGGTTTTCGTTGCAACTTTTTTTGTCACTACCCCCTACGTATACCATACACAAACGATATCATAGATGGTAGGACGGTAGGACCATACCGCATAGAGTTGGGATGATATCCTGAATTGGTGGTTAGGCGTTTCTTATGTTTATGCGGGATATGTACCAAACACTAACGAACAACCCGCATAAACGCGAACCATAAATTGACCTTACCTAAAATGGTTCAAAATTGTTTATAATCCCTGCTAAACTTTAACTGAAATGGTTATGGAACTTTACATGAACCTTTAATGATAAAGTTTCAACCTTATGTATTATGGTTTTTTGGAACTGGACCTTACAAATAATGAGTTGTTAAGAACCATTACCGTTCCAAATTCTTGTTTTCTCCACACATTTTCGGAAAGAGAACTATATTAGGACCTTTTAACTTATGGTTTGAGAACTTTAATGGTAATGGTTATGGTAGTCAGTAAGGTCCACGAATGGTTTTGTAACATCGATCAACTTTATGTGGAATACATCGCGAATTGGTTGCCTGTAATTTACAGATTACCAATTCACGATATATTCCACGTAAAGTTGAGCGATAATACAAAACCATTAATGGACCTTACTGACTACCACAACCATTACCATTAATGTTCTCAAATCATAAGTAAAAACGTTCTTATATAGTTCTCTTTCTGAAAATGTATGGAGAAAACAAGAATTTTTAAAGGTAATAGTTCTTAACAACCCATTATTTGTAAGGTCCAGTTCCAAAAAACCATAATACATAAGGTTGAAACTTTATCATTAAACGTTCATGTAAAGTTCCATAACCATTTCAGTTAAAGTTTAGCAGGGATAATAAACAATTTTTAATCATTTTAGGTAAGGTCAATTTATGGTTCGCGTTTATGCGGGAAATCAACCATACACAGCAAAAAAAAATGTAATATCGATCAACGTAATTCAAGCTGATGTATGAAATAATGATGTAATAGCAAAAAGCAGATACAATATTACATCAATGGATGTAATTTTGTTCGCAAAATCGATGTACATCGTACAATGTGATATTACACAACCGATGGATTGACCTGGTTGCATCAGTTTCGATGTAATATTCAACAACTTTTTTTGCTGTGTATTCTATTTGTTTGCTTAAAATATTCTAGAACAAATTACAAAATTTTAAATGAATTCAACAATATTGAAGAATTATTACTTAATTCTGACTATAGAGGTTACAGAAAAATAGCAAAATTTATTTCCTTAAACAAAATAACACTATAAAAACTAGATTTCACGTAGGTGTATCACAATCATGTCATATATTCAACTGTTCATTAAAGCGAAGAAAAAAAAATAAACCGACGCGACCGACGATCCAATAAATAAACATGATTAAAAATAAAAACGAAATCGCTTCATGACTTGACCACACCCGCCACCAAAAGGAGAAGAAGAAGAAGAATGCTGAAACGCTGAATCCATCATCATGCTAGTTCTTGTGTTCGCCACGAGAGACAAATTTTAATCGCAAATAATTATTATGACGACGAATGACGATGACGACCGACTGTAAAATCTCGCGCCACTTTTTAAAAGGTCCTAAGTAACAAATGTAAACAAATCGAGTTAGGCTATACAAACTATTGCGCTTGGATGACAAACTATGAACATGAGCATTATACAACAACTATGCAAGTGTGACCAGGGATGTGCTCATAATTTATTATACAAATAATGCACATGTTCATAGTATGTCATACAAGAGTATCCGCGGCATATGTGATACAAAAACACCCATGCAAATTTACTTTCATTTATTTGAGATAATCATAGGCCAAAAATTATCCAATGTACAGTTTGAAATGATGGTTACAAGATTGTTACTTCAGTCATTTGGACTGCCTAACATAATTGGTGTTCATTTTGTAAAGGCGTGGCCAATCTAAAGTTAGGTACTCTACTCTGAAATCTGTGAAAGGGAATCTAGAATCATGTAGAACAAAACGCCCAATGTAACAACACTCATTGATTATGTCATTGAGAAAAATCGTCCAATGAGCACGTCCGATGTACAACTTGGGTAGTCAAAACGTCGTATGTGTTTTTTTTTTCAATATTGCAGCATGAAATTCAAAGTAAAATTGTGATTTTACCGAGGGGGACGACTCTATCTACGATGCAAAAAAGATTGTGTTTTGCTGTGGCTAGCTGCGCGCACGCTGAGTTGATAGAAAGAAGATTGATGACGATTCTGAAGATTTCCTGCAAAAAATTGATGAGCGATGCAAGTAGATGCGACAAATGAAAGAAGATTGTTCGAAGATTGATTCGCTAGTGTGAGATTTTTTGACCATCTAAATTTGAGATTTAGATGTGTCGCCCCCCTCGGATTTTACCGTTTCTACTAAATTTTCATCGTTATTGTTCACTGACTACATTAAAAATAGTATTGCAAAATGTATTGTTTCTAAACACCCTAATAAACAAATACCATAAACGAACTGTATCCCGGATGGGTAAACTATCCCACAAAAGGTTTGGATGATACCCCGAACACGTCGTTAAGCTCTCTTTTATGGTTATTTTTATTAGGGCAGTTAAAATAATAATCTGTCGAACTTCAACTTCGATTTTCTCAAAATGGTGAATATGTTGCATTGGTCTATTTGAAAAGTGACGCGAGAAATCTCAAAATTATATTCTGTTTGAATGTGTGGTAGTTGTTGGTTGTCACAGTTCCAGTGTTTAGTTCATCATCAACAACAACAACAACAACAACGTACGGTGTGACCGTACATAGGTATCTGTGAATCGCGGTACGACGGTGTGGACTTGTGGACGGACGATTTCTGTGGAGGTAAGCTTCGCTGTTCGAAGAAGACGATGAAGCATCTTCTCTATTATTGCAAACTTCTCACACGATTAGATTGTTTCTCATTCGTGTGTCTCTTTCTTGCATGTGAGCTTAGAAGCAAGTTTTCTTTATATCCCTGCAGGGGTGAATGCAGAGCGTAGAGCAAACAATCAACGACGAAGAAGACGAGCAAACGCTCTACCAAGTTAGCAAGCAGCCAGCGAGAGTGAAGTGAAAAGTAGTGACCACCTCTTTCTCTAGGTACATATTACTTTTTCAGCTAGCTCCGCGACATTACAGTGCTAAGTGAAGAAAATAATAATTGTGTGGTGACTTCATTTCCCGATACTCGACACAGGTGTATCAATCGGTGACCCCGTTCCACGTCCGACTGACAAAATCAATCCAACGTTATGAACGATACAGAGGTGATTCTTCGTTACCTGTATCTGGGAACCGACCAGCCGTTCTACATCCGCAAGAACAAGCCCCTCGATGTCAACGAAGGATGTCGGATCTTGGCTCCGGTTAGAACGCTGGCGGAAGCAACTGCGCACATGGATGATCCGGCCGCACTCAAGGCAGCCGAAGCGGTCACTCTTAAGGAACCACCCGTGGACATGATCGTACGGGTAAGTTGGACCAGGGAGAACATTACTTTACTATATGTCGGACGGTGTATCGTCCATCTTTTCACACACATCAACATCGTCATCGTCACCATCATCGTATCTAGCGGCAATGTTGTGCTTTTTCCTGTTTTTCTTTTATTGATGTTTTCAGTGTTTGTCAATATAGTTCAGATAAACATTGGTGAACGTCAGCAACATTTTACAATGAATGGGATTCGATGCAGAGTGAGAGCTGAGCAGTACATATTTTGATTATGTACTTATTCTCACCTTTGGGCAAGCCGTTGCAGAAAAATGTAATAACATTATTAGGAGGAGAAATGATACTTTGGGTTAAAACTACTCGCCCCCCTAAGTTTGCGCCTATGGATAGGAACATCTATTCTTTTTAAAGTTGACTACATTTATGACGGTAATGCTATGTTCAAACTACGGAGTTATAACATTTTATAATATGTAATTATCGACGAGAAAAATGTCATCAGGTTAGCCTTAATCAGTGGTGGCACGAGTCCTGGAGTTTAACATTTTTTCCATAACATTTGATACATTTTGCGATAACCATTGTGACGACACACAAAAACAAACTGGCAAGCGGCAAAAATGTCATGACATTTCTAAACTGTTTTCTGCCAGCGACAGAACATTTTCGCACAAAGAAGCAGACAAGACCGGCGGCGCGCGCGACATAAATTTATGTCGTGTAGAATTTTGCTGATTTCTGGCTAATTACTGCATTTATTTGATGTTTTTTGCTTGGAATTAAAAGATAAGAATGAAGACTAACCACTCATAAGCATTGATGTTAAAATTATGCGTAAATAAGGGAGTTGGTAATTTACTGTCAGACGCAAGCCTGCAGCTAAAATTTCATTACAATAAACTGTTTGGAAAAATCAGGCTGCGAGATTTTATTTATTCTCTATCTCCGCTGTCCGCTTGGAATGTAGTTATACACGGTCGCCCGTGTGCTGGCTGTTTTGTTTCGCTCTGGACGATGGTTTTTCAAAAAATGTACTGTTGCCACCTCTGGCCTTAATACATATTATAACTCTTCAGTCTTTACATAGCATAAGCTCCAACCGATATTATTCTCGGATTAAATCCCGATTAAGAATGTCCGATTGCTTTGATGTCAAAATCGATTCTTCAATAGGATCGATACGATTCTAAGCTGACATCACACTGTTTGACGAAATGTCTAATATTTGGCAAAATTCGTCAAACAGTGGGATGGCATTTTTGTTATGTAAACAGCCAAAAATAATTTATTTGGTACTGTTGAAATTCTTGAGTAGCAAACAACATCAAATAATCGTCGCTTGCTGTGATCGTACTTGACCACTGGAATAGACGATTTATGTGATGTGACACAGCAGTTCAAATGCATTTATGATTGAAAATCGAACGATGTCCGTCGTAGATCCTTTGGGAGTACATTCACACGAATTTTATATGAGAAATTGAACTGTACCATTTCTTGGATGCCGGACCGGTTCCCCTAAAATATGTTTCGGAACAAATTTACTGGAGAAAAGAATTTATTTGATGGATACAAAACGAGCTCGGAGGAGTTCATAGAGCTTTAGTTTGGTAAAGAGAGATGATTATCCCGATTCGTACCTTCCTCAAAGTTGTCCTTGCTCGCTTTCTACTCTCTATATACAATTTTCACACTGTCGTACTCTAACGGAACTATCAGCTCTATACTTTCATCTCCACATCTATCGTATAAAATAACCACTAAGTCTGTTATTTGAAACTTGGCATCTTCAACCATTTGATGAATTTTGCATTCAGAGGGTCACAATATCCTAGTATAGTTTTAATCGTTTATATGAAGTTTGAACCTCTTGGACACAGAACCTTGTTATTTCTAAACACTGAAAATATGTTCTATATTATTCGAAAATGCCGATGGGCCAACTTCAATTATATTTTAGATGAAATATTTATTATAGGTCGCAGTGCGAGTCAGTTTCGCCCAGATGTTTAGAAAAAATCCTTCGTCACCTGCTGAGTACGGTGTTGTACTTAGTACATTCCCTATTCACCATTCTAATTTAATCTTAAACGTATGGTCTTTTCCGAGTCGTGAACACATTCTTGTCAAAACATTATGTGTTTGATGAATCCATTACTTCTGTGAATATGGTTTAGAATTGATTCATAAGGTGCTGATCCGAGATTTGCAAACGGTAATATGATTCTCGAAGAAACCTGAGATGAGCATTATTTACTCGTTACATGAAGGTTTTTCCTCAGAAAATTTGTTCTAGGACTGATTCCAGAGGACCCGGAATGAACTCATGATCGTTCTATGATCTCCAAACCTGATATGAATCATATGATCTCCAAACCTGATATGGATCATATGATCTCCAATCTGGGATTTGCTTTCTGTGTATGTGTCATCCTCTACCCAGCTGGGAGCGTTGGACAAATAGAACTGCGAATAATTTGATCAAATCCATCAGTACTTTAAAAAGGATAACTTTTGAGGCAAGACAAGACGTCCTCAACAAGTTTAAGGAAAAGGATGTACTAATGTCCACAACAGGTACAGAGAAAATCACATAGACGCCCTTATTCGCACTATCTATTCAGGGGTAGATGGAAAAGAAGAGCCACCGCAGCCCACAGTTTTTGGCTTTAATGGTTCCATAATTGGCCCTTTCTTAAATTTAAATTTTGTTCATTCTTCACCACATATAATTTAATGCAAGGCTATATAAATAGCAAAAACCGTGATTTGCAAATAAAACCGTGAAAATTTATTTCAAATTTGAACTAGTCACTAGGACCAAAAACTGGAGCACAAGTACTATAACCACCCGATGCCCCCTTAACTTTACATATGAAGCACTTGTTTCCCAGGCCATCGTGAAAAAAAAAAATCGAGAATATAATGCGAATGGCTCTGTCCGACTTCTTATTACGTACTCATCTTTCATCCAACAAATTGTATTCCGTCTCCGGGTTGTCATGAAGTTGCAAATTTCAGCATACAGGAAGGCTGGGAGGCCTTGCTGATCATCATCAAGACATAATAAATTTGACGCTTTCCGCAGATCATGAAGAGCGGTACCCTGGTCCGCAACGACGAGTGCCTCTTCGCGCTGGCTTTTCTGGCTCGAACTTTCACCAAACCGGAAGAGAAGCACAAAGTCTACGAAGTTGTGCCAACGTTGATCGAAAGTTCAAAGGATCTGTTCCAGTTCGTGCACTTTTATCAGGTATTGGCGGCGAAACCGGCCGGAAAAGGTATGTTGTTGTGCCCAAAATCAATCCCAAGGTTAAGCATTTGTTGTTTTCCCATCCCAGGTTTCGGAAATGGTATGAAAGTTGCTATTGGCAAGTGGTACAATAAACACTCGGCAGAAGAGCTGGCAAATCTGCTGGCAATGGATCGCGGTTGGCACGACTGGTGTCATAAGGACATTCTCAAAATGGCACACATGAACCTGGAGGATGAAGCCAAAATGCAAGTTTTGGATGCTGCTTGTGGTGGTAAGGGTAAGAAGCGGCCGACTAAATCCAAAACTAACGGAGAATCGAAAGACGACGTAGCACAAGTCGACAGCAAAGCGCTGAAAATCTACAACCGAATGAAGGCATTCAAATCGGTGCAAACCGCCAACGAAGCCACCGGCTGCATTAAAACGCACAAATATTCGCTTCAGTTGGTTCCTTCGCAGCTGCACCGTGCGCCAGTGGTTTGGGAAAGTCTGTTCCCTCACATGTCGTACCGGGACATTGTTCAGGCCGCACTGGTTCTACAGGATTACAAACTGCTGAAGGAAACCGATACTCCCCTGTCCGAAGCCTACGGGAAAGTGCTGAATCGTATGACATCGGTCACCGAGTCAAAGGTTAATTCAATCTTCATCTACCAGGTGATGCGTTTGTTCGAAGAACGGCAGCGTTACTTGAATGCGGTCAAGGAAGCGATCCACACGACGAATAATCTGGCATTGAAGAATACGAAAGCTAATCCAACGGTGCTGAAGCAGTTCTACGGCGCTTTGAACCAATCGATGCTAAACTATCAACGCACGGGGCTCAACTTTCTGGTGACTTTGGATTTGAGGTCTAAGCAATCCAAGAGTAAGTTGTGTTGCGTAATTTTTTCTTTAATGGTGTAGTCAAACGAGACATCTTGATATTGTAGAGCGCGTATTCGGCAATCGGCTGATGTCCTGTCAGGCGGCTTACATCCTGTTGACCCTTCCGATGTTCAAACGGGAACCTCACTTGAAGGTTTTTTCGTTCACCGATCAACCGACCGAGCTCGTCGAAGTGGACCTCACTCGGGAGATGGATTTCTTCAAGGGATGCGATCACATTCAGAACCATGCGAACAAGAAGACCAAGGTTAGCATCACCCAGCCGATTCAGCATGCGACTAAGAAGCAGATGAAGGTGGACGTGTTCATCACCATCGTCGATTCGTTGATTCGGGTCAATCCCAAACGCGAATCACCGGTGGCCGCGCTCAAAAGCTACAATAAGAACATGAATAGGAACGCTCGGTAAGTAGGACTCGGTATTTTTTGACAATGCCTTGCTAAACTTGTTCTCTATTTTCGCTTCAGGTACATCGTCGTCAGTTTGAGCCGCCACCAGCAGGATCTGGATCACGCCAATATGGGCTCGACCAAAGGAGTTCTAGAGCTGGTGGGTTGCTCGGAAGAGACACCCAAGCTGATCGATGCCTACGTAAAGCATCACTTTACGTAAGCTGCATTTGGATCACAACCACTTCGAGGAAGAAGTGGCACAGTAAGTACTGCGAATCTTTTGAGGAAGGAATTTCTGCAGAAATCGGCGAATTTGATTTTCAAGTGTTTTTTTTTACTAGTAATGACAGGCGGGGGAGTTCAGAGTAGTATTGGATTCGTCTTTTAATTTCGCTATGTGGTTGTAATAAGTGACGCATTGGGATGAATATTTGAATTATCGTAACTAGCGTAAGGCGGCTGTGAAGCAAATGTCCACAATGTGAAACTGACTAATTTAATTCCCTTTTGTTGAGTTAAGCATTTTCGGAAATACAAGTAACATTTCTTTAAAGGAAAGAACGTTAGATGAATAACAGTTATTGGTGGCACTTTATTATTCCGTTTGAAGGTGAATCATCGAATAATCGATATCAATTTGCATATATACTCGAATTATTACGTTAAAATGGGATATTCATAATGAATCCATGTATTTTATAGGTAGGGTAAGGTGGGCATGCAGGGTCGACATCAACAGGCTAATGTCGCTATTTCAGACAAATGTTGAACCGGTTTAAGTGCAGCTGGTTCCATTTTTTTCAATTTTTCGATCGGGCATTTGGTTTCGGAGATAAGACCAAACCCTGTTGAATCCACTTACTAGGGAACAAGTGTATTTTTCGTATAATATTATAGTACAACACAACACACAGTGAATGCTAAATAAGAGCTTATTCAGGCCAAATTATGCTTCTCCAGCTAAACAATGACTTATTCAGATTGTATTCAAATCAAATTGTTTGTTGGAAATTTCATATTCTGTTCACTACTGGAGGGAGACCCGAAACATACCTTAATGTTAGTTTCTCAAAAACGTTCTGCCCTTCTGAAATTCTAAATCAATTTCAATCTGGAATAATTGAAAAAAAAATACAGGTCCAGGAAAGGAACAATGTTTCAAACTAAAAGAAATATTGAAGTTGTCGGACTTAAAAAAAATCCACAATCCGATAGGCATTTAAACAAAAATCTAGGATTTCGTCTGCATTTTCAAACAAACTTGGGGCAGTATTAAGGGTATTCTGAAAAGAAATCCTGGGAAAATTTTGAATGTATTCTCATGGATTTACTATTAGAATTCCAAAGTTATTTTTGCTTTGCTTTGCTTTACTATGACTAGAAAGTAGAATTCCAAATTCCAAGGTAGGTATGAGTAGAATTACATGTTTATTCTGAAAAGAATTCCATGGGCTCTGCATTCTTAAAAGATTTTCGAAGAAACTTGGGGTAATTCCAAGGGTATACCGTACAGAAATCCTGGAGAATTTTTGGAAAGCATGCTAATGGATTTCCTATTAGAATTCAAAGGTAATTTTTGCTGGTTGAGGAAAATTTTGTGGAAGTATGACTAGAAAGTAGAATGCCAGAGTAGTTATGAGTAGAATTTCATGATTATATGGTTCAAATGGAATTATAAGAAATCGAATGGAATTCCGATGAAGAAATTTGAATGGCGATTTTAAGAGAACTCTGACGGTAAACGCCCCGAGAAACTTTGAAAAAAAAAACTACTGAAATTCTAGTATGAATAATTAATTATTGTTAAAGAATTCTAAAGGCTGTACTCGAAAAAAGTGAGACACACAAAATGGTCGTCAAAATTTCATTTTAAGTCGGATTTTCGAATAAACTTCAACCTTTTGGTTCGGTTTCTATTTCATTGCTTTATTTGGATCTTCGCTCCATAATCGAATGTCCGCACCTTGCCCTTGACACCACTCATAAGGTTTTGGGCAATGGTGATACTTTTACCCACTGTTTCTTCAAAGCCAACTCATTCTCCAATACCTTAGGTGTTTTACGAAGTCTGGCCTTCATAATGGTCCAAAACATCTAAATCGGGCGAAGTTTCGGCGAGTTGGTGGATTGACGTCTTTTGGTACAAAAACAACATTGTTGTCTCTGTACCAGTCTAACACCGGCCGCGCGTACTGGCAGGATGCCAAATCTGGCCAAAACAGCAGAAAGGTAGGAGGCGCTTCTGGAGGCACTCGTCCCGATAGATTTGCCCGTTGATGGTACCCGTCGTGATGTACGGCTGGCTCATCTTGCCGCACCCACAGATGACCTGCCAAACCAAGAACTTTTTGGCGAATTTGTCCACTTTCTGCTTTCTTACCCCCTCAGGAACGGCCAACCGTGATGTGGCAACGTAAAACGCTTGCGCGACAACTGCTTTATGTCCGCCGTCTCGTCGTCCATCACGACGCACCTCGGTTTCGTCAGCCACTCCCAGTACAGCTTCCTGGCGCGGGTTTTGGCCACCGTGGCCGTTCTTCAATCGCGTTAGAAGGTGTGATCAGAAGAGCAGGGATAGACACGAGTGGCACGATTTTCAGGAAGTCCATCCAGCTTCTTGGCTTCACCGATGACATTGACATCATGGCACGGAACTTTGAGACGATGGCGGAAACGTACATCAGACTGAAGGCTGAAGCTAGGTGGATTGGACTTGCCATCAACGCATCAAAGACTAAATACATGAAAGGAAGAGGTTCTAGGGAAGACAATGGCCCTTATTACGGGTGTCACTTCACGGCGAAAACGAAGTGAAATGACCTCTTGTCACTCACGGTGAAGTGATTGTCGTGTAAATCAAATGGGAATCACTTCACCGTGAGTGATAAGTTGTCACTTCACCGTGAAGTGACATCGGTAATAAGGGCTAATGTTAGCCTCCCACCCCGAGTTCAGATTGACGGTGACGAAATCGAGGTGGTCGATACTTTGGTCTCCGGAGGACGCTACGGTCGAATAAAATTCGCTCTTTCATTTCCGTCAATCCCGCATTGACCAGGAACCCAATATAAGTTGACTTATATTGGCAAGACAAGGCAATTTTCGACACTCCCAGACAAGTTTTGATGTACATGTCGCCGACCGGTAAAACTCTTCTTGGGAGGGAGGCAAAGCACCTAAAACAAGCGAAAAGAAAAACCGACCAACGCGACACCATAGCAACACAGCTACTCGAAACAAATTATTGTCCCAGAGTTTTCACGTTAGTTACAATATCACTAAAAAGCTTCCTAAAACGTGATAGATCTTAATTTACACCTAATTTGACTTGGTACAATTAAAACATATGCGGAAAACAGATGAAATAAGCGCCAGCGAAAACAAAACCAACCGTTCGCGGGCAGAGCCTACTGCGTTTTTATTTTCAATCTTGAAAGTTGTTCAGAACTATTCTCAAATTCTTCACAAGTGTTTGAGCTAATTACTGTCGTGTCTCTTCCTGCCACTAGCTCTGAATTATATAACTCCCAGTCTGTTTTTCTAGGATTTCTAGAGGTTTGTGTCACCTTCCTGGCCTTTCACTGGATCAGCTGTTCGGTTTTCTGCCTCAGCCTGCTTACCACTAGGTCGTCTGGGTCTCCTTGAATGACTTCACCACCCGGGAAATCGTCGAATGATGGATTCCAGGGTGTTTCCCGATCCATCTGTGGGATGTAGTCGGATTTTGCACGACGGCGCACAAGATTTTTTTGGCGGATCTGCTCTTGTTCCGATGCCATCTCAATAACCGCTTGACAGATTGTGATGAAATTCTGTCAACGTAAACATTACACTCTTAGCTAGTTTCAGTTAAAATTTCATCATTTTGTACCCACACACTTTTTACCTGTGCACCAACATTCAAAACCAGATTTAATGCCATATTCATACTCGAATCTATCCATTGCATGCTAATTTTGATAATTGTTTATGTTATAAGAGTTGGTGCACAGATAGATTGAGGTTAAGGAAACGCCACTGGGAATAGTATATCCGAGAAAGATTCAGCAGAACCGGGTACTTCCTATCCGGGCATAAATTGACCGGGTCTATCTTGATCATATGCTTGCTCCTAGAGATGAACTAGCCTATGGCTTAAAATCCCTCTACTAAAGATTTAAAAAAATATGCTTGCTGCTGTTCGAGGGCAGATTGAACGAAAGCACTTTGCTTCTGCTCGTGATGTACTCGGGCTTCTTCCTGGGAACACCCTGGAACAAATCAAGATCGCATTCAAAGTAAAATTAATATTTTTGTCCTGATTATATTCTAAAACTAAACCGTACGGTAGAACCAGCCGTCTGCGTACAATTCTTATGACAGATTTGACCAAAAATAAACTCGCTGGAACACGGTTTGTTTTCGTACAGCATGCAGCGGAAGAGATCTAAAAAGTTTTTGCTCGCATGCATTGTGGGCAGGAATGCGGCATAACGTTAAAGGCCCACGCACATTAGATCCGGATCACACGCGTTGCGGCAAAGTGGCAGCTAAATCTATTGTCTAACTGTCAAATTTACATCAATGCAACGCAAACGGATCTAATGTGGGGGGCCCTTAAGCGCGATTTTAGTACGTAGCGCGTTTGCCGCTGCACCGCTGTCATTGTGTTTAGCCCTTCACTAGGGTTACCATATCAAAAACTTGAAACGGAGGACATTCAATTTTAAGTTTGGAGATTAAGGAGGAGAATGATTCCTTTTCTTAACATTAAAGGAGGACAATGAGTTTTTATCAAACGTTTTAATAATATGTGCGCTATCACAAAACTCATGATTTGCAAAGGTCCAATTGAGATTGTTCATAACTTGTAGTCGTTATCAATTCAATTCATCTTCTCGTTATACTTCTGATTCATTTTTGATACTTGGAAATGATCTAATCTTGCTGATTTGCATGAAAACTACAGCTTTACAGCTTTAAAAACATCCCAACTTTTTTCATGTACAAAAATCAAGACAATATGTCATCGCTGATTGAAACCAACATGGAACATCTAAGCAACCTGTTAATTTTACCATTGATTTAGCATAGGACTCTAATTCATCGTACAGACTATGGCTTATATCATGTAATATAGGCTGTCTTGCAATGAGCACTCATACATAGGATTTCCAGTGAAAACTAGATGTATGAGTGCTCATTGCAAGACAGCCTATATTACATGATATAAGCCAAAGTCTGTACGGGGATAAGGCTGCGGCCATAGTGGGAGCGAAGAGGCGCGCTTAGCGTTCTACACAAAAGAATTCCTATTATTGATATTATTCCTTACATTCGACTTTACGCTTCGCGTGCCTATCCGCTCTCAATATGGCAGCGGCCTAAACAAATCAAGCGTAACTATTCAAATCGACGTATCTGCTTTCGTAAAAAAAATCATTTCAATCAATGATTTGTCTTAACTTCTAACTCACCTATCAATACTACCGACGCCAAGGAGACTGCTCCCACACCTGGACCTTAATATCAACCCATCAGCTCATGAACCGGGGACCAACGTACTTCCCTTCCAAAGGAGAGATGTTATGCCTCAGAACATCCCGGCGGCGCCGACTGAGATGGAACCCAGGCCTGCTGCGGTGAGAGGCAATCACGCTTACCACTACACCACCGGCGCTGCTTTATCGTCGATTGATGTGATTGTTTACAAAATCAGATACGTCGATTTGAATAGTTATTCTTGAAATACCTAAAATCCCATAGAACCAGAACGTCAAAATCGAACACATGTTGGATTTAATCCATCTGGCGAATTTCAACTTAAATTTGATAGATACAAAATTTTCAAATAAGCCTGCTATAGACCTTTTTAACGTTTAATCGTCTTTCTCTACCTAGCACACATGGATGAATGCATGGTTTGTTTTCCCATTAATATGTTTCCCTCTTGCGAGTGCGATTCAAATGGTGCAGTAGTGTGCGTCGATTAAACGCCAAAAAGCTCTATTGTACCAGACTTATTTCTGGCAGACCAGGAATCAACCACACGATCAACAACAGAGAGATTTTCGAACATCATAATTTATTTTCGAAACGTCAAATTTAAGTGAAAATTCCTAGGGGCAAGACAGTTCCTAATCATGAGCGATTTCTGAGTTGCTTTTGATGCACCTCGAGTAACTCACATTGCTCAGTCAGAAAGATCACTGTCATTTGCTATCTCACTTTTCGCATCACAGCAACATATGAAGGTGCACCTTCTGGCAAAGCCGAAAAGCTGC